CTCGTGTCATGGAATTTCCTGTGCTTTTGCACCAAAGAAGCAGCCATTTGGTTCGTCTGTAGCTCTTGAGGCTGGTTGCAAAGATTACGGAGATCTTAAAATTCCGTTGCAACGATTCAGTAAAAGTATAACGAAGTTGCAGCTTTCTTCATCTTAACACATGCCAAATAATTGCGTCACAGTCGAACACGTTTTCTCACAGGTCTGATACGTATCATATACCAGAACAGCCAAAAACGAGATGATCGTGACAGATTGCAGTAAAAAGACGTCAGATCATGAGCTTACCGACTTTCAAGTCATTCTTTACATGTTTCTTCGCTTTGCGACACTGCACATGACTGCTGCCCGTAAGTCCGCACCTGCAGGACCGCCATGTCCTACCACACTGGAGCAGCTCTTCACTCAGTGCATCACCTGGACCAAGCTGCCCGCTACAGGTTTTTCGTGCCGATACGGCTTGTGAAGATGTGGCCGCGTCGCAGCGATCACCGCAGCGTCTCGCGGTCAGTCATCCGATGGGACGTTCCCCGCGCGTGCCCGCTGGTTCCCCGCCGTTCAGCGGCCGAACAGCTCTGGCGCAGCCCGGGCGTGTCCCGGCCGCCCCGGGTGTGCCCCGGCTGGCCCAGCTCAGGGCTGGCGCGCCGCTCCCCAGCCCAGCCACAGCGGGCGGCGGCGTCTGAGCCGCGAGGAGGATGCGGCAGCCTCGCCCCGCGCCCGCATGCCCTTCCCGCCCGCCGGTTGGCCGGGACTGGGGGTGCACACGGACCCGCAGGGGCTCGGCCTGAGCCGACTCGCACGTTTTGCGGTGCCGTTCGGCGAATGACGTGCAATGGAAGGACGCTGATAAAAGCATCAATTTCTCGCTGCCAGAAGACAGCTTTTGTGCCGCTTTTCCCTCACCTTCGGCGATTCGCCTGCACCGGCGTCCGGTTCGCTGACTGATCGCGGCTGCAGGAGCGACTGCCACGTGCGCAGCGCGTCACCGCTGCAGCGGCCGACGGCGGTTCCGGTTCCGCGTCATCCGCCGAGTGTCTGTTGCATCCCGTCAGGGGTGCGAGCCGGATGCTTTTGGATGCAGGCGGCTTGGCCCTCGTTTGTGCTTGCCATTTGCCATTTGTGCTTGCGGCTTCTTGTACCTGCTGGATTCGACGTATTTAAATTGCGTTAGTCCACTTGGGCGATTTCCGAAGCTAGGTGAGATGGGAGATGAGGAACACGTGATTTAACGAGTCAACTACAGCACGTGCACTGCTGACAGTGACTGAATCGCATTCGTTGTCAGGTATTCAAAGCAAAGTCATTCGGACCGTGCACGCCAGTGTCTCGCTTTGTACGCTGACGGACCGCTCAGCGCTCTATTTCTTCCTGACCTGAGATAAAATGTATTGTATTGCTTCCTGCACTGAGGTTCAAAATGCACTGTATTTCTTCCTGACCTGAGAGAAAATGTATTGTATTGCTTCCTGGCCTGAGGTCAAATGCACTGTATTCTTCCTGACCTGAGATAAATTGTATTGTATTGCTTCTGACCTGAGGTGCAAATGCACTGTATTTCTTCCTGACCTGAGATAAAATGTATTGTATTGCTTCCTGAGCTGAGGTCAAATGCACTGTATTTCTTCCTGACCTGAGATAAAATGTATTGTATTGCTTCCTGAGCTGAGGCCAAATGCACTGTATTTCTTCCTGACCTGAGATAAAATGTATTGTATTGCTTCCTGGCCTGAGGTCAAATGCACTGTATTTCTTCCTGACCTGAGATAAAATGTATTGTATTGCTTCCTGGCCTGAGGTCAAATGCACTGTATTTCTTCCTGACCTGAGATAAAATGTATTGTATTGCTTCCTGAGCTGAGGTCAAATGCACTGTATTTCTTCCTGACCTGAGATAAAATGTATTGTATTGCTTCCTGAGCTGAGGCCAAATGCACTGTATTTCTTCCTGACCTGAGATAAAATGTATTGTATTGCTTCCTGAGCTGAGGTCAAATGCACTGTATTTCTTCCTGACCTGAGATAAAATGTATTGTATTGCTTCCTGCCTGAGGTCAAATGCACTGTAGCCTGAAGATAAAATGTATTGTATGCTTCCGGTAGTCAATGCACTGTATTTCTTCCTGACCTGAGATAAAATGTTTGTATGCTTCCTGCTGAGTCAATGCACTTCTCCTGACTGAGATAAAATGCGTCAAATGCACTGTATTTCTTCTGACCTGAGATAAAATGTATTGTATTGCTTCCTGAGCTGAGGTCAAATGCACTGTATTTCTTGCTGACCTGAGTTTTAATCACTGTATTTGAATGACATCTGCGCAAACCTGTGATAAAGGTACAACGTATCAATTATGATTCAGGCATATTAAATAAGCAGCACTATACTGCGGCACTTTTGGTAGTCGGAATTATGTTTTCCTGGTAAGTGAAACCCGGCGTTAACCTGTATGGCATGAATGAAAGCGCCGGCCGTGCACCTCGTTTGATGAATGGGGTCTTAACATGCCCTCGGATGGGTGTCCATTTGACCCCTCCCCCAGTTTTTCCATAATCGTTCCGAACGGAGTTGTATGTCTGCGCCAAACTTTGATCAGCTGTAGGAAATTGAATGACCAACATTTTGTAACACAAAAATCAAACGTAGCTGGTAATGTCGCTGACCTAGATCATGTCAAATTCAAGCCATGCTGTCCGAAAATGGAATGCCTAGAGAACTGTGCCACATAATGTAACAATGGGGTGTTCGACGAAGTCATGCAACCTCGAGATGGCTTCGTCAATAACCAGACCATTAAAATTAGGATGACGACTAAGCCCATTGACCGTTGGTCATTTATGAAGGTCAGATTATGGTAAAAATGAATCACTCAAGTGCTGAACAACTTGCTTAAGAGGTTAGCTTGGGATCTTCAGTTCCAATTTCTAGATAACAGGAAAAGTCAAAAGATTACTTAGTTTGATTAATGAACGTCCGGGTAGGTCACTTCCCTTAAATGCCCTCCACCAATATTTTCCTTCGGGGAGTATGCCGCGTAGAGTAGTACTTAGAGTCTTCTGACATCCGAACATCAAGCTAAGTTGATAGATTCTAGCAATTTTCACCTCCCAAAAGCCACACACGACCCTGACCTAGGAGGTGCGTGAGGAGGGCTGAGGACGCTTGAGACACCGATGTGGACCTTAAGCTTGTTTGGCTTATTCGGTCATGCCCTAGGGACCTCAAATTCGGATGGAAATTAGTACACATACTAGCCTACCCACTTGTATGTTTTTGGTGTGACCGCCTCTCTTAGCCGTTGAAAGTTCAGGAATGAGGTGGTCAAATTGTCTACGCCACTCCCAGACCCGCGCCCGTCTCATTCACGTCTCATTCACGTCGCATTCACCCGTCCGCCCTGGCGCGTGTTACCTCGCTGCGTAATCGCATACGTAAATCAACCATTACCAGATGGCTGAATCATGGCCATCTTGCCTGGGTATCATGTTGGCTGGGCACATTAAGAACAAAGCTTAGATAAGATCGCGGCATTCACTCATGCCTCCGCCGCACCAACTTGACGCCACAACAGCTCAGTATTTAGCGTCACTCCTCATGTCAAACATCTACCGCTTAAGCCCTCTCAGGCGTCCAACGAATTCGGCCACTTAGCCATCCGTAACAGTGGTCTTGCGACATCGTAGCGAAGGACCCAACACAACACCTTTTTCAGAGTACACCTTTTTCAGAGTACATCTTTTTCAGAGTACACCTTTTTCAGAGTACATCTTTTTCAGAGTACACCTTTTTCAGAATACATGTTTTTCAGAGTACACCTTTTTCAGAGTACATCGCAATGCTTCTGGAGGCCAGCGCCGAGAAGCAAGACGCGGCATCAGCCATTCATGAGGTCACCTGCAAGGGTTAAGTGCAGTGGGTTATATTATGATACATAAAATATTATATTACACATAATCATCATTACATACTCAAGTTACATATATATATATATATATATATATATATATATATATATATATATATACATCATATTACATATATATCATATTACATATATATTATATACATTACATAGGTATTACATAGGTATAATCATATTACATTTAAACGCCAAAAACAAAGGTATTCGACCTTACACTTCTGTCTACTAGCAAAGCAATAGGGCAGCAAAATATTTACGCCAACCGCACGTAATGGAAGTGTACACCGTCGTACAGACCAGACTTGTACCTGATTCAGCTCGGCTGGAATGGAATCCAAGTCTGTGTTAATGTACATAAAGTCCGCATCCGATTCAGCTGAAACGGAGAGTTAAAGCTGAAGTTAAGTCGGGCCCAAGCAAAGCGAAATTCTGACAACGGACTGTAGTACGCTCAGAGCAAGCAGAACTATGGTACTCACCATTACCAGCCAAGTCACATCTATGTGGTTACCTATCTTTGATATAAGCTTTTTCTGAGCGCTTTCCGAGTGCTTTTCCCAACTGCTTTTCCGAACGCTTTTCCGAATGCTTTTCCCAAACGCTTTTCCGAACGCTCTTCTGAATGTTGTTCCGTACTGCGTGAAATCGATCATTTGAACAGTTCCAAACGTGTTCTTGCGCCATCTAAAATAAGTCTGCTTGCATATCTACCAATGTTTAAGAATATTTCAATACTGTCCCGAAAGTCCAATGAGGGTCGATGTTCATTGTTCCCCGGCTGCTGAAACTAACGGAAGGCTTCCGATCCAACCAGTGCGAGGTTTAGGGTTGGGCACGGACGTGCATCCTTCTGCGTTCTGACTGTGGCTCTTCAGGGTCGGATGGCGTCATGCGCCTGTCACGTCAGTCAGCTGAGCCCTCGGGCCGAAGAGTCTGCGGGGGGGGGGGGGGCGGTCCTTTGGCGGCGGGGCTGTCAGCAGTGGCGGAACTAGCCAACCGCTCAGGGCTGTATAATGCAAGGGCCAGGCAAATCCTAGTCCGCTGGCGGAACTACCGCCGCTATAAGACACGCCCGGCTGGCCGGCACGATCGCAGTTCTCCCGTCGCTCAACTGGCGGCAACATGAAGTCGGCTCTCTGTTTGCTCGCCGTGCTGGCGGCTGTGGCTGCGCAGGTCAGGAGGCCGTCAGGCTTGTACCAGACCCCCGCTCGCGGCTCCGGCATCGCGGGTCAGGTGTCGGAGAGTCACCAGACGTCTACCGCAGGAGATGGCCTAGGAGGCGGCTCAGGTGGCCAGGTTGTTGGAGGTGGAGTCAGCACTGGTGGTCAGTTGGTTGGAGGTGGAGTCAGCACTGGTGGTCAGTTGGTTGGAGGTGGAGTCAGCACTGGTGGCCAGTCGGTTGGAGGCGGAGCCAGCACTGGTGGCCACTCGGTTGGAGGTGGAGTCAGCACTGGTGGCCACTCGGTTGGAGGCGGAGTCAGCACTGGTGACCAGTTGGTTGGAGGGGGAGTCGGCACTGGTGGCCAGTTGGTTGGAGATGGAGTCAGCACTGGTGGTCAGTTGGTTGGAGGTGGAGTTAGCACTGGTGGCCAGTTGGTTGGAGGTGGCGTCAGCACTGGTGGTCAGTTGGTCGGAGGTGGAGTCAGCACTGATGGTCAGTTGATTGGAGGTGGAGTCAGCACTGGTGGTCAGTTGGTTGGAGGTGGAATCAGCACTGGTGGTCAGTTGGTTGGAGGTGGAGTCAGCACTGATGGTCAGTTGATTGGAGGTGGAGTCAGCACTGGTGATCAGTCAGTTGGAAATGGAGTCAGCTATGGTGGTCAGTTGATTGGAGGTGGAGTCAGCACTGATGGTCAATTGATTGGAGGTGGAGTCAGCACTGGTGATCAGTCGGTTGGAAATGGAGTCAGCTATGGTGGTCAGTTGACTGGAGGCGGAGTTAGCTCTGGTGGACGGCCGGTTGGAGGCGGAGTCAGCTCTGGTGGACGGCCGGTTGGAGGCGGAGTCAGCTCTGGTGGACGGCCGGTTGGAGGAGGAGGAAGTGGAGGCAGTGGTGGGTCGGTCCAGTCCTCCGTGTCCTCTTCCAGCCTGTCCAAGCCGGGGTACGGCCACGGCAGTGGTGGCTCGGCCAAGTACTCCCAGTCCTCCTCCAGTCTGTCCCAGCCGGGGTACGGTGGCGGCATTGGCGGCGTCCAGACGAGCCAGCTCCAGACAAGCGGGCTGCCGTCGGCCCAGCAAGGCAGCTTCTCCAGCCAGACGCTTCCATCCGGGGCCAACCGGCGACCCACCAACGAGTTCCTGAGCAACCCCAGCAAGTTCGACTCGGCACGTCCGGCAATCATTCCGAGGCCGTCCGGCGGGGACAAGCCCGACTACCAGGCGAACATCTTCCTGAGCGGCCAGGCCGGCGCAGCAGGACCGCAGCTGCAGGGCAGCTCGGTGAGCAGCTCTTCCAGTCAGGGAACTTCGGCTCAGACAACCGGTGGAAGACAGCCCGGGCAGGGCGGGGATGGACCTGCTGGAAGCGGTTCCCAGCCCGGTTCCGGACAGTCAGGTTATGGAACTGGAGTTTCTGGCCAGGGACTCCAGTCCCAGGGAGGTAGTGGAGGCGGTATTGGCCAGGTCGTTTCTGGAAACGGTATCGTTGGCCAAGGACCTCAGCTCCAGGGATCCAGCGGAGGAAAGCCAGGACGGGGCGGATCTGGATTTTCTGTAGGTAGTGCCCATTCTATTGGTGGCCCGGCCGGCTCTGGAGCTGGTATTTCTGGCCAGAGCTCCCAGTCGCAAGGAGGTAGTGGAGGGAGACCGGGACAGGGTGGGTCTGGATCTTCCGGAAATGGTATTGCTAGCCCAGGTTTCCAGTCCCAAGGAGGTATTGGGGGACAACCAGGACAGAGCGTGTCTGGATTTTCCGTAAGTAGTGTCCAGTCTAGTGGTGGCCCCGCCGGTTTTGCAAATGGCATCTCTGGTCAAGGCTTCCAGTCACAGGGAGGTAGCGGTGGAAGACCAGGACAGGGAGGACCTGGATCTCCTGGTGATTACCAGCCTAGTGATGGCCTGGCCGGCTCTGGAAATGGTATCTCTGGTCAGGGCTTCCAGTCCCAAGGGGGTAGCGGTGGAAGACCAGGACAGGGAGGATCTGGATCTCCTGGTGGTTTCCAGTCTACTGGTGGCCCCGCCGGCTCTGGAAAGGGCTCCACCGGTCAGGGCTTCCAGTCCCAGGGAGGTAGCGGTGGAAGACCAGGACAGGGAGGATCTGGATCTTCTGGTGATTACCAGCCTAGTGGTGCCCCGGCCGGCTCTGGAATTGGTATCTCTGGTCAGGGCTTCCAGTCCCAAGGGGGTAGCGGTGGAAGACCAGGACAGGGAGGATCTGGATCTCCTGGTGGTTTCCAGTCTGGTGGTGGACCGGCCGGCTCCGGAAATGGCATCTCTGGTCAAGGCTTCCCGTCCCAAGGAGGTAGTGGTGGAAGACCAGGACAGGGAGGATCTGGATCTTCTGGTGGCTTCCAGTCTAGTGGTGCCCCGGCCGGCTCTGGAAATGGTATTGCTGGCCAGGGTTTCCAAACCCAGGGAGGAAGTGTAAGAAGACCAGGACAGGCTGGATCTGGATCTCCTGGTGGTTTCCAGTCTACTGGTGGCCCGGCCGGCTCTGGAAAGGGCTCCACTGGCCAGGGCTCCCAGTCCCAGGGAGGCAGTGGCAGGCCTGGACAAGGTGGATCCGGAGCTGGGAGCCAGTTCGGTTCTGGAAAGGGCGTCACTGGCCAGGGCTTCCAGTCCCAGGGATCCGTCGGCGGAGGAAGACGTCCAGGTCAGCAGACGATCTTCCGTCCCTCTAGCGGCACACCCTTCGGCCAGGCTGGTGTGGGCAACCAGATCCTGCTGCTGAACACGAACCCGGGCCTCGGCGGCTCGGGCCCGCTGGGACATCAGCTGGGTACCTGCTCCGCCTCGCTCGTCTGCGTACCCGTCGCCATGTGCAACCCCTACACGGGCTTCGTGCGCGGTGGGCTGCGCTTTGAGCCGAAGGAGCCGACCCTGCAGCCCACTGTGGCACTCGACCGCTGCAACCAGCTCAAGGACGGCGGCGTCGGTGACGGCGTCTGCTGCCAGATGCCGCACATCAACGACCCCTGGCCCCGTCAGTGAAGCGGCACGCACGGTGATGTCTGTGACTGCGCTGCTCGGGCGTTGGCAGTGCCTTTTCGCTATGGATTCCATGCTTGTTGTACACAAGTGTCGGCTGTTAACGAGCGAACGATGTGCAGTGGGACTGCTGAGCAGCGCTGTGTGCTTCACTTGTGCCGGGTTTCCTTGACCCGCCCCTCCGCCAGACCAGTGGCGCTGGTGGCCTGGGGCTGACCGCATTCGTCCCGGTGCTATTTGGTGGTCTGCATGTTTATTTATTTATTACTTTCATGCCATGATCAGGGCAAGTTATGCATATGTCACATGCCTGACGTGCGAGCACAGCTAACCTGAATACATATGATAAATGCAAAGTGTTGATTTTCTTCGCTGGTACGAATGTTTTTACCGGTGACTATACATACGATAAGCCTCAAGAGCCCTGTTTCACTGGTCAGTTGATTATCAGCCATGACCCGCCAGGCGTATCAGGTCAGGTCGGATCCAACGCGAGCGTCAGTCTCTAGCCGTGCCATGCATGGGACACAGCATGTTGCGTTATCCATGGTTAACCCATGACCAATCACATCGTTGGCTTCACAATCTCAACATGTCGAACAATTGGAATATAATGCGTGCATGGCATATGGGGACTTCAAATTAATTTCACGTCTATCATGTAATTAATTCGTGATCTGTGCTTGGAAAGCACCGGACACGCTGTTTGCCATTCTCAACAAATTGGTTCGAAAAGTTGGTGACTTTCGCAGTGCAGACTTCTGCGACGAAATCCAGGAATTTTTTCTCCAGTTCGGTTTGACGAGCCCTTAGCTAAGATTGGGTGGAGAGCCATCGTTCCGTATTGGAAGCCCGGGCTTGCACAAGACCCTTCCATTTTCTCATTGTAGACTCCCATTTTACTGACATCATGTCTCCTTTTATTGTCGGAGGGTTCCGATCAACGCAGAAGTCCTTCTGGGGGTCCAGTCGTTATGTCTGTTCAGCAAATGTTCATGTAGTCAACTCGAGACCTCTTGCCGACACAGAGCTCCTGCTAGGCACTGCGGGTTGCTGAATGACACAGAGCCTCTCACTGTCCCAAGGTCCTCGACCAGCGCTTATCGCGGGCCCCGGCGTTGTTCCGGTTCGGGAAATGGGCCCAGGGCTCAGGCTCACAAGGAGACGGCTGTTCTGTGCTGGCAGCCTTCCTGGCTAAAAGGAGGTCTGCATTGTTCCAGGGGTTCTCAATCGGCATAAAAGGCCCTCTCACTGGCATGAGGCCGCGACCCTGCGGGCCGGGATTCTTAATGCGGCCTGCAATTGGACCTCAGGGCCCTTCAGCCTTCCAATCGTACTCTTGATCGTAGGTCCCAAAGAGCCAATCGGACCGCTCTCCGAGTTCCCTCAAACACTGCCCCTTGCCAATACGGCACCCTCTGCTAGGCACTGTGGGCCACTGCAAATCACAAGCCCCAGCCTTTTCCCTGCTTGAACAATGGGCCCGCCGACTAAGATTGAGACGGAGCCGTCTCTTCGGTAATAGCGTTGCCTGACCGACACAGCGGCCCGCATCGACGCAGGGGGTCCCGCCTGGCGCAATAAGCCCCCTGACTGGCAGTCGAGGGCCCAGTCCTCTGGGCCGGAAGCCTTTGATCCGACCTCTTGCCAGGCCTTCCGGACCGTCTTAGAATTTTCGCCAACACTCTCTGTGTAGATCTTCTCCAGCCCTTTTAAAGGCTTGGGTACGGCTCGTGGCCAATTTGTTCATGAATGCTATTGCCGCTAACTTTCCCTGGGTTACGACCGTGCCCCTGGACAAGAGCGTGGGCTTAGTCCTGATGTCTTAGGGCAATTATCGGCCTATCTCGCTGATTTCAGTGATCTCTAACCCTGTTGGAGATGCTGCTCCCTGATGAGCTTGAGGCGTCATTCGTACCTTCACTTTCCCTGTCACGCTGGCCTTCTGCTGTGTGATGCCCAGCATCTGTCTGTGCGAGGCTGAGCTCCCCTGACAGCCTGGGGGATATCTGTCACCACAACCTGCTAATGTTCCTCTGTTCCCACTCCCGAGAAAGATCAGCCTCAGCGGTATGGAGCTTAGCTCCATGGTTCTCGTGACCCAGAAGTATGCTACGCCGACGATCTGCTTACCTTTTCTAGTAACGCCTGCCATCTGGGTATGCTTAGGATTGTCGAAGGTTTGCCATCCGGTGGCGTTTGGAGTTTGTGCACCCCAGCCCGGCGCACACTAAAATCCGTTGGTTTGTTTTCGGGGGGCAGACTCGATAGACATGGAATGGCACCGGTGCGGGCAATGATTGCCCGCGCGTGTCCAGATCGAGCATAAGGGTGTCGTGCTCGATCCGCGGCAGCGCTGTTTGCCCACGTGGGCGGACGTCTGCACCGTGCGCGGACCTCATTTGACGCTCTGGCACCAGCTGGTATGCTGGTTCTCCATCTTCCGGCGTGAAAAAGGCTTTCATGAGGCGCGCCTCGGGGACACGACTTTTCTTTTTGGGAGTGTGTAATCTGTTTTAAATGCCGTGAGCATTGAGCACATCGAGCAAATGCGGCACATGGGGGCCAGCAGCCGGACTGCCACGGCGAGCGAACAACACAGTCATTTTCAGGCTCTGCGCGTCCGCGAAATCAGCATGAGGCGCGGTCTGGTCTGCTGTGTTCAGAAAATTCTGCAGCTTGTCTCTCTCTTTATATCGCTGGCGCCCACTCTCTTTGAGGACTCTAGCCTTGGTCGTCTACCGCCTGGGTGAGCTTGCCGGAAGCCTTGCTGGATCCGCTTTTTTGCTGTGTGGGTGAGGATGGGGGTGGCTAGTGGACTTGACCTGCGGGAGGATGGATAGCTGCCCCCCTTTCTCCAGTGCGGCCCCACTGCGATGTGGCTGAGTGGCTTAGATGGCTGCTGACGAGAGCCGACCCAGAGACAAAAACCCTAGCACAGCTATGATGTACGGATTAGTGAGGCGTCCATGTGTATTCAAAGTGTGTAGAGAGTGCGTTTATGGCAGCATCTTCTTTCATTATATGCTGTTCGACAGGACGTTATAAACAACGACGACGACGACGACGATGGTGATGATGGTGATGGTTATGATGATGATAATGATGATGGTTGTTATTGTGGTGGTGGTTGTGGCGACAATGATGGTGGTGGTGGCACTGGTAGCGGCGGGAGAAGGGTCACAATTTAAAGTTCCAATCGCAATTTTGATCACTCAATTCTAGTCAGAACACGTTCATTGATAGCTCACTGAACGCTGATTTTGCCCCTTTTTTGACGTCGAAAATTTTGGAAGCCAAAGTTGTTATTTAGTCGCGATAATGTAAAGCGAGTTAACATGATTCTGCTAAGATAATGTTTAAAAACTCAGTCATTTCTTTGAACGCCCATTTCGATGTTGATATCTATTCTTACTCATCTCAAAATTATTGATACGCATTCAGCAATCTACGGCAAACAACGACAGGTTGCCATGTATAACCCGATCCGGCTATGGCCTACATGACCACGCCCGTGTGGGTCAAGTCACGGGTCTAGAAAGTAAGTTATACTGCCAAAGAAATCTGCGTCCAAAAGAGCTTTCTTATGATTTAATGCATACACACAGACACACACACACGCATTAATATACACACACATATATATATATATATATATATATATATATATATATATATATATATATATATATATATATATATATATACAAATATATTAATGTGTGTGTGTCTGTGTGTAGGTATTATTCTGTGTTAGAGAGAGAGAGAGAGAGAGAGAGAGAGAGAGAGAGAGAGAGAGAGAGAGATATATATATATATATATATATATATATATATATATATATATATATATATATATATATATTAATCTGTGTGTGTGTCTGTTTGTATGTATTTAATCATAAGAAAGCTCTTTTGGACGCAGATTTCTTTGGCAGTATAAGTTACTTTCTAGGCCCATGGCTTGGCCCACACGGGCGTGGCCATGTAGGCCATAGCCGGATCGGGTTAAATATGGCAGCCTGTCGTTGATTGCCGTAGATTGCTGAATGCGTATCAATAATTTTGAGATGAGTAATAACAGATATCAACATCGAAATGGGCGTTCAAAGAAGTGACTGGATTTTTAAACATTGTCTTAGCAGAATTATGTTAACTCGCTTTACATTATCGCGGCTAAATTACAACTTTGGCTTCCAAAATTTTCGACGTCAAAAAAGGGCCAAGATCAGCGTTCAGTGAGCTGTCAATGAACGTGTTCTGACTAGAACTGAGTGATCAAAATTGCGGTTGGAACTTTAAATTGTGGCACTTCTCCCGCCGCTACCAGTGCCACCACCACCAGCATTGTCGCCACAACCACCACCACAATAACAACCATCATCATTATCGTCATCATAATCATCATACATAGATATGTTTTTATATATACAATGCATATATTGTATATATATATATATATATATATATATATATATATATATATATGTAGGTAGATAATCAGATAGATAGATAGATAGATAGATAAATAGATAGATGACGTTTTAATAACCATTTATGCTTGAGCTCAAGCGCATTCTGCTTCTCATCCCCCGTCCTAGTACCCTTTCGGCATGCACAGGGTATTTTGCATGCGTTAAGGAGATTGGTGAGTGGCAGGACCACACTGCGGCCACTGTGGGAAGCCTCCGTTCCGTTACCGAGGCTAACACCACCCACGGACACCTGTCCCGGGTTTGTGCGGACGCTCGGGCGCGGCTGCCGAAAGGAGTGGGACTCAGCCAGCTGAAGCCTGACGTCACGGCTCGCCCCGGAGGCACGTGACGTCACCTGGACTCAGGATGAGGCGATAACTGAGGAGAGAGAGGCGGATGTCCCTTTACCATTTTGGAGTGAGACCGGAACCAGCGCAGGGACACGCGAGGCAGCGCCACTCAGTTAACGCTGGCATCTTCTTCGTGGCCATTCTGAGATCAGCACTGACAGGATCAACATGCGGACGCTGATCGCCACGGCACCGTGTGCTGTTGCGGCAGGCAATACTGGCCGTAGAAACGCGCCAGCAAACTCCACTGAAACAACGACCTTTGCAGTAATCTCTGGAGGGGGCTGTGGTTTGCTTCTCATTTGGGGGCATAAGCGTAGGAATGTTTCACAAAGTGTGGGGGGGGGGGGGGGGGTGGCAGGCAAAGGACATAGTTACTTAATGACGTCTCATGACAGGTAAGCCTGAGCGACCTATGGGGAGAAGGGGAGATTGAGGACTTCACTCGCACTTAAAGGGTGTGTTCCACATTTCTATGGGGTTTTGAACTGAAATGGCCATCTTGAAGGCCTTTCGGTGCAGTTCACAGGCCTGCCTTTTCTAAGACTTAAACCCCTGTAGTTTCTGAGCTACAAGCGCTCGAAGATGGGAAGACTATTTCGGGGAGAGTATTTCAAGGTCACCTTGGCATTCATGATGTTGTAATGACGTCATTCAAATCATGTCATTGCATAAGCCATGCGGCAATCCAGGCTCAGAAAAATGCAATGATCGAGTCGTTCAT